AATACAATTGAGAAAAATAACAGGACCAGTATGAAAGAAAATTAACCAACCCACTCTATATCGATCTATCTAGGTGTTTAATTTTCATTTGGTTCAATTGAGTCTATATAAGAAGTAAGATAGAGCAGGATAGTGTTCTTGGCCTAGTGTTAACGTGAGACTCTTGCAGTGAAACCCAGCTCTGATGGTGTCCATCAGATGATGGACGAAAGTTCAGCACGTTTTCACCCGAAACGAGGGAGGAAGTCTTGTAGACTGCGTCAAAATGAATATCGCATAAAAGCAAAATGGCTGCGGTACGAGATTCATCAGTCCTCATCTAGTGAGACTGACCAACGAATCTCTTCTTCATTCACTTCCATGCGAGCTGAAAGTCCCCCTGACACTGTTCTTATGCTACGTTTTCATTTGCTATTCATTTAGTTTAATATCACGATAGCTTGGCAGAATTATTAGCACTATATAAAGCCAACATACCCCTACATGCTGCATAAACACTATAGCCTGTGTATTTTCGTGGAATGCAGAATGATTTGGCTGATTTATAACGTGTCATGTAGCCGTATACGCTTTTGCGTTGAGTATAGGCATAGCATTAGGGGACAAGTAAGCGAATTTTCTTGACTCGTTACCTTAAAGACGTTTCATAAATTGAATCCTTTTAGGATATTGTGTATCATACGAAGTAAAAGCCTAATACCCTTTCAATGGAATCTAGTGGGATTGTTTTAACCAATAAACAGTCCAGAATATGACAGTTTAGGCAACCGAATGTTTGCCAAATGGAGTAAGCCGCTGCCTTTTAGTTAGATTGCACTACGAAATTCAGTATCACACATTTTCAAAGTGCTATTTTAGAAGAAATGAAGGTAATCAAACTTGTAGTAAATGTTTATCTTTTCTTTATTCTCTTTTGCTTTCCCTACAAATTTTCACACATACATTCCCGGTCATAATTCAATACAAAAGCACCAGCCATTTAAGTCCATCCAAATACCGTTGGATAGTCGGAGAAGGGAAGAATGGAGCAAACCATGAACAGTCGATTTCGACCCCCCCAACCAGGCCCGCTCAAGAAAGCAACAGGTCACGGAATCAATACCTCCGAAACTCAAAAACGCCTATACCTTTTCGGGCTGAAGACGGAGGGGATGATTCTCAGCCTGTCGTAGCCAACAACCACTCTAAACAGTTGAAAGATACAGCGGCTGCAATGCAACTGGCAGCCCAACTGGTTGCAGCCAAATCCGCTATGTATTCAGGACACCAAACGCGAGATGATGCTTTGCAGCCAGATCTGGAAGAAGTGCGAAGGTCCTGTATTGCACAGAGAGAAAAACAGGAGAAAGAGGTTGAAAGTGCAGAAAGAGTCAGTACCACCCATGGCCAGGAGCTTTTGGATCAACTTAACGACAGAGAGGAGTTTATCGAAGTCAACTCGACAAACACTAATGGCGATAGTGTGAAACAGGCTTCAGTGAGAAAGGATAGCCTGTTGGGTCTTCCAGCCGAAACCGATCGAGTTCAGGCGGATGAGAAAATATATCATGAGGATGTCAGAAAGCTGTTGTGTGTAGACAAGCGCTTGACAGGAAGTCAAAATAATGCATTTGAAGTCATGGTACAAGGGATGCAGGAATCGGCGGCGACGACACTCATCAATCTTTCGCTGCCCCCACCGCCTCCGAAGAGAAAACTCTGAAAAGCGAAGTTATGTACATAACAGAGAGCTCACACGACACAACTACAGCAGATCAATCACACATTTGTATATACGAAAACAATCAGATTGTCCACGTGCCAACGCACAATCAAATTGGACGATTAGAGGAACCAGCAAAGGCTTACGACGCTATACAGACCTCCATTCGAACTATGCCCAATAAAATGGGACTTAATGCTCCAGTTTGTTGCTTGTCTATACGGACTAACCGCCTCAAATACCTAAAAGCCTGTGAACCAGTTTATCATCCTATCATGTTAGATCAACCTAGCCGCTGGTGACAGAGTGCATATCTCGTTAAACTTACCCTTTATAGAAGTTGAATGCCCTATAACAGTTAAGAAATTGTAAAGAATAAACAAAGTCAAAATCGCCTCAGCCTGCATTATCCTAGATCACTATAGTATATATGTTTTCAATCACTATCCTGTAGAGAGCGAGCTGTATATTCCAGTGCAAAAATAACTAATATTAATAAATAGAATTCTACAAAATGTGTGGCACCCGCGTAGTATGCCATTCAATAAAAAAAGGCCTGGGGTGATGTAATCGGGACCGAATAGTTTCAACAAATATGCCCCAATGAAAAATTTAAGAAAGTCAATATTATTGGTCTTTGCCTCATTTATTTGATTAAAATATTCACCCACTAATAAAATGGAATGGAAAAAGTAGGCATGATAAATACCA